GAAACCCTGAGCATTCGGGCAAATCAAAGTTCAGGAATCCTAAGAAACTAGGCACTCTTTAAACTGCGAACCAAACAGTTATGCATATTTAGATTTTCGAGATGGCTTTCTCCAATTTGAGGGTAATACGACTATAGACTACGGAAAGCGTTGGTGTCAGTCGATCCACGTTGTTATCAAGTCGATGTTACTCAAAGTTGACTTTCGAACTCTCGGAAATTGAAGATACCGAAAATATCACTTTGTTGCTCCTGGTCGATCTCATAATTAACCCAACAACGTCGTCTTATTGATGGTATTGACGATGACAATGGGGAAAGAACTTGAAGTGCCCACTTCGACTACACCTAGAGCATGCGTGCTATAGCTAATACTAAGAACTGTAAGACGACAAGGTGCTGCTAACTCTAGTCGCACACAGCAACAACTTTGCATCGTTTGGTTCACAGCTTAGAGCTGTGGACTGGATAGCAGCTCGAGCTGGTCTGGATTTGTTCTAAGCAGTTGTTCGACAATGTTTAGGAGCCTCTAAAATTTGATTCTGAATCTGATGCCCTCGAAGCGGGTGATGGTAAGAGTTTGGAGTACAAGCTGGGTCGAGCAGAGTTGCCAGACTTGACTCGAGTTGGTCCACGGCATATTTGCAGATGGTCTGAAAAATTCAATCACGAAAAATGTCGTATACTGAACAATGAGCAAAGGGCAACATGACAACTGTATGGTTCGAACCGCCCTTTCAGACTGGCGCCTTAGGCTAACGCCTTTGACCATTCGGCCAAACTGTTGCTCTGTGCATGCGTGCCCACATTTTTAGGCGCACTTGATTGTAGAGCGTGCGTCACGCACGCATGATGCGTGCATGTTGTGTGATAGTCCGTGCCTGCCAGGCACTCCCTGGAGAGTAATCTTCGTCTTACATGCCCATAATGGAGGCAGTTGGGCTCTTTTCACCGAATCTGTGGTACAACACCCACCCCGTGTCGTGTATATCACTGTCTCGGAGACAATGTCTCCTCATGCTCGCTATGCAGGCTCTTTTACATCCATAGATGGCATGGTTATCTGATATTATCATCCGCTACTTCTGGGACAAATCAATTTCCTTTTGCTGAGTCATCTGGGAAGGATGACCACTTCGTCAGGTTGCTGTGAATTGTGCATGAAGGTGACGCACAGACCGGCAGAAGGTGACGGGTTGTGTGCAAGTTGGCCTGCACACGTGAATTGATCGATCTTCCCGCAGGACAATAAAACCAGACCAACCGCCCAATAAAAACTATTCTTTCTTTCACGTCACATCGGCTACAAGTGTCGAGTTGCACAATATCTCGATAGTTCCTGACATTATGCTTAGGAGTGACGTTCACATATTGATCAGTGAAGTGAGGACAGATTCCTCTGTGTGCGCAAAATTTGTCTAGGTCGCACAATGTGGAAGACAACTCGAGCAACCTGGCGATGTTATGCTGACATTGTCTGTATTTTTCAAGCATTCAGGGCATTACGTGCGTGTCCTTACTCAAGTTCATATGAAGCTTCTCTTCATTCTGAGTATCCTGCTCATTTTGGGGTTCGGTGATGTCTACGTGGATGATACTGGGAAGACCATCTCTGGCATGATGATGGAAGAGCACGCCTACAATGCTGGTCAGGTCTCCGAATTTGACCTCGAGCAAAACTTGACAATCACCAACAATCAGCTTGACAAATCAGCGTTACATAATGCGTGCCTAGTCTGCGAGGTACTCTCGTTTCTGGCCTTGTGGTGCGTGCCTATACTCGCGGAGTGTGGCACGTTTTGCGGATATTGTAGCTGACATTTGATATTTCGATTCGTATTTTTTTATTATTTTTCGGCCATTTCGCAGGACAACCAGCCAGTGGCTAGCAGCCACTTTTTCTTCAGGAGAGAATATCAAGATCTGACACATCATCTTTTAAATTGCTGCCTTGCGTTCATCAATGGACAAGGCTATGATATGGTCAGTTCGTGAGTGATGAACACTTCCAACGATGAGATGCCACCTCCCTTGGAAAACTGTTCCGAGCAAATTTCATCACTCAAGAAAAGGTGAGGAAGAACGATTAGAATTGCAACCATATGCTACGCTACTTCCGGTCCGGAAGTTCCGGACAGGAAGAATTATAGTAACATTTCATAATGATCCTTCATCAGAACTTCTGATTCAGAAGGGTCATACAGAGAAAATCTCAAGTATAAAAGATCAAGCAAGGGTATGCTCTGAAGAATGTGAATCGAGGGAGAAGGGCAGCAGGGGGAATGCGCACATGGTCAACTACATGTGTTGGTGACAATATGGAAACTATAAGAGATCGCGTTGGTTTCCGAGCATCTTTATTCTGATTCGTATATGAGTTTCTATAACGAGCATGAAAACTCCTGAACTCAGCTATGATGGGCGAATATATACTTCCCTTCGACATTGCGTCGGGATGGTCGACGTTCAAATCCAGGAGTATCTAAGAGATCGCAGATGCTGTCAGAGGGAAGGTCTTGCTTGACAAGTCTTCTTTTCAGGATACATGCTTTTAGCATGAGCACCTCGTGGGGTGATGATGAGAGTAAACTGCCAAGGGAAAACGAGACAAAGAAAAATACGCTATCCGCTGCGGTTCCCCATCGGTTGAAGGAAAAGAGTGAGAAACAATCCAGGTTGAAAAATGTGGGATCTTAGGGGAACGCAGTCGTATGGACGGACATACGCAGTTTAAAGGTCCCTACCTGTTCCTATGCAAATGTGAGTAGACAATGTAACAATCAAGATTGACAATAAAAATTCAAGTTCATCACTATTCCATTTAATAGGGACTGAATGACAATAATTGTTTTATCAAGTGCGACGGTTACCGTGAGATGGTAAACTTGTTGACAACAGTTTTCAAGAAGACTCTTCCTAGAAGAGGTGTCGGACCAGTGTTGGAATATGTGTTGGCTTCCTTCAGGAGTCGCTGCACTAATTATAAGAGCTCACAACAGTGTTGGAGTAGGATTATATGTTCGCTCTCCTCAGTTGAGTTCAGGAGTTTCCTGTACAGTGTTGGGGTAGGAACATAGGTTTGCTTTCCTCATCTGAGCTCAAAGGTTTCCCATACAGTGTTGGAGTAGGAATATATGTTCGCTTTCCTCAGTTGAGCTCAGGAATTTCCTCGCTGACTATAGAAGTTCACATACAATTGTATGATACAAATTCTGGTAGAGGTGTACAGAAACCGATACGAATTTCCCAAAATTTCCTCAAAATGTTCATATTATCACCAACACCTTTGGTCGACCATGTACATATTTTCCACACCGAGTCGAACAAAAATCGTGTTCAACTCATCCGATCTCGCGTTGAAATCAGGTCTACGTTGAAATGGAAAATTACCTTGCTCCAATGTTACACCCTTACTCCGAGCTCTTGCCAAGTTCCAGTAGTCCAAGCTCGTCCCTTAGTTCCAAGCTACCCCTGATGCTTGAGCCAAAGTATCCCTTAATCCAGTAATACAAGCGAGTGTTACGGTCGGCCGACTCGGTTGGTTTGGACGGTTCTTCAACGCGACTAGTACTTGTTGGAATTTGTGCTTTTCCGACTGCAGAACTCGATGCCATGATGGTCTCAATAAAGTAGAAAAACTCTGGCTCTCACCATTTATCCTATTTGCAGCTATTTGCCGCTACGAAATCAACTATCTGTCATGATGTACGCATAAACAAGTGAAAGAAAAAGCAACGCGTCACGGATCATGTGCGCGCGTGCGGACTATGGAGCATCCTCAATCTCTCACAGTACTCATGTGAAAATAGAGAGTAAAAATACAGACTTGAGCCAGATGGCTACCGATTCATCTCACATGCTCATAGTGTCAATTTGATTAGCAACAATGATAACTCAAACACGGGGTTTGAATTATTGTGTTAGTGGTTAGTGTTGTTTGAAACACCTAATCTCAGCATCGTATATCTATTCCCTGGCGGCCAGAGTCTGGCCTCCCTGCCTGTCGGTACTCACTAGAGCATTTCGTATACGCCCGATAAGAATAGCAAATCATTCGGGGCCGCGACACGCCTCCCCTCGGAGATGCTTCCAGCGTTATCTTCGGAATCGCCACAATCCCACTGCTCCTCCTTTAAGATTCCCTCCTGTCTGGTCGCCCACAGGCGAACCCTCACCCTGACAATGATGAGGTGGAAGCCTCAGGTGTAACCTGTGAGCGTAGTTTAAGCAAACCCGCACCCGATCACTGTCCCACGTTGCACAAAGTTGTGCAACAAACAGCTCAAGCTAGAGCCTCAACAACTATAATGTAAAACTCCGTCGAGTTGAATTGTTAATTTTTCCCTCTTGATGCCAGCCCCTAACGAGACAGAAGGCAGAGTTAAGGCTCTGGTCAAAGATTTATTGGGTGAGAATCCTATTACTGAAGGTGCTCTAATCACCCTGGTCTCCAACCTGGTGAACAACGACCTCACCACTGTCGACTTCCTGGCTCAAGCCCCGGTAACCCTGGTTGAGGCTGTGCTCAACACCTACGAGGGCGCAGCCGTCAAGGCCTCAGCGCGCCTCAGACTCGACGTTATCATTGTAGAGGCGCAAGCACGCCGATCTTTGAAGCCCATCGACGGTGAAGCGGCCCGGTATAGCCATACCGTGCTTTGCCTTGAACTTGGACTGCAGCTTGGCCACAGAATCTGGCCCCAAACCACTCTCGGCTCGAGTGTCATCCGTCTTTCTTTTGAGAGAGTGAAGCGCGCCGCAGTTGCGGCCGACGGCCTTCAAGAAAAGCAAGTTGGTTCTGTCGGACAACAGATGAGCGAGCTCTTTGCAGCTTGTGTCGTCGAGGAGTCCGAGCATTCTTTTGGTGACGAGGTTCTTGGAGACCAAGGGAGAGGCGACGTCAGCTTGAGCCCCAGATGGGAGGTTGTCGCGGATGTACTCGGACACGTTATCAGGAAGCTTTTGTAAGATGCTATCCAGAGCAAGCGTACAAGCATCGGCCTTGTCAACGCTTGAAGCCCCTCACTTGGAGCTTCCTCATCATCCGACTGCTGGTCGGGGTTGCCGAGCTCATGGGGATGCACGATCTTCGTAGCTGAGGTTGACTTGGCTTTCTCGGCTAGAGGGGGAGTGTTCTCGTCGATGTTGTCCACGCAGGCCTTCTTAGGAGAGTCGGTCATAGGAGAGACGAGCCTTGAGCAAAAAAGGCGTAGAGCTATGAAGGCGGGGCAGAGACGGCACTCGGGCTGGTAAACCCTCAACTCGAATCCACGCTCATGAATGAACTGTGAACGGAGTTATGATAACTCAGCTGCCGATCTCGAGCAGAGCTCTGCTGCAAGTTGCGGTCCGTAGCCAGGCCGGAGCCGATGGGCCGTTGCTGGCCGCGGACAGATAGATCATCTGTGCATACCGAAGCCGCGTGCGATCGGCTGTGCGCCTGTGGTCTGTGCAGACCGCGCCATGC